AGCATAATTATCTGTTCTTTTTTGCAGATTATTGAGAAAAGAAAGAAAATGGAGGCTGATGGGTAAGAGACTTTTTCATTTGGTTGGGGATCATTGAAACAAGTGTGTTGATTTTTTTTTAAATTTCGTAGTGTGTTGATTCTTGATGGTATTTCTTTTTCCATTGTAGGGTTGAGGTCAAAAGACCAAAATATTAGTCCAGCACTCTGAATCCTGGAAGATTACGTGTCTGGATATTTCTCAACTTTTTGTCTCTCCCTTTGCACTTTCTTTAGAGAAGCTGCAGTGTTCATGTGTGTGTATGAAATTGCATTGTTTCGACTATTAAAATCCGTGTTAACCCTTTGTTTTTTCTTTTCTGCTGAAGAGATGGTATGAAGGGAAAGATGGCGGATGAGGTCAACTCCAATTCCTCAGGGTTTCTGGAAACACTAGTTGGACCAATTTCACCATTTTGTTCTTGGCACAAGCTCTAGCACATACTTGGGTACAGTCAGTTACATGTGGGAACTCATTTTAATTATGTACTGGACAAGCTGAGATTACAGTATTATAGCTAGTATCCCAGCATTGATAGCAAGTGTTAAATATTTCTCTTTTTCCAGTGTGTATTCAGCTGAAAGTATGACACTGCCTAAGAGGTCCTGGCCAGTGTAGTTTCAAAATAGAAAGGAGGGAGGGAAGGAGTATTAGGCTCAAATGTTCTTTTTTAAAAAAGCTATTTTTTCACTTAAGGCTTTACCAAGGAAAGGTATACCAGATATACATATATATCCATATACTAGAGTAACTTTTGTAACAAAGAAGTTAAAGGGGCAGTGACTAGGAAAAGTGATTGGACTTTGATTATCAGCAATTTGACCCTACGGTTGCAAAATATAGCTTTAAGTATGTGTAAAAAAAATTTGGGTTATAAAAACAAGTAAACCAATCTTACTTACATTGTACTAATTACCAAGTAATGCTCCTCAAAGGTATACTATCTTATGACCCATTCTTGTCCAGTGGAATGGCCTATTTAGGGAAGAAGGACCCTTTCTTATACTGAGCTGTGTTCACGTAGAGTAGGAATGTCATGCCTCTAAGTCAAAGCTGCACGTGAAATCTACTCGCCTCATAGCTGCAAGAGTTTCAGCAAAGCTGGCCTCTGAATTGCCTTTTTCACCCTTTTGCTAGCTCTCCTCTTCCTTACTGCCCTCTGCCAGTTGTGGATAGCTGAAATATGAGCTTCTGAACTGGTGGGAGTCAGATGGGAGTCAGATGTCAGCCAGATGTCAGCCAGTCATAAGAATATCCACACCCTGGTGGATCCCTGGGCTAATGGCCCACTGGTTTCTTACTAAATGCCAGGCTACTGCCTATCCGTTAGGATCTGCTAACTCAGCTCCTGCTGGCTTGCAAGTTCCTAGTTCAACTTTCAACTTGGATTCCTTGTAAAAGTTAACTTTTAGGAAGCTGTGGGGGTGGTGTTGATAGAAATTCTATGCAGATGTTGCAATCTGCAGGTAACCAACTAGGCTGAGCTTTAAGCCTATGGTAACGCCCAAAGCAGCAGGCATAATTAGTTAAGGACAAATGAACATGGCTCAGATAGCTAGCACATAGGAGTAGCCCAGTGATCCCTTAAAAGCAGGATATTAGCCAAGGACCTGTCCAACTAGCAAAGCTGCTAGTTAAACACTAAAGTAGTAGATGCTTTTTTGGGAGCAAACTTCAGCAATGGGGATGATAGCTTAATGCTGTTTTGTCACACAGAAACAGCCACTCTTGGCTTTGGCGCCATCTACTTCACTGGGTTTTAAAAAGGGCAGTCATTCAGTAAGATGTGTCCGGGTTCCCTGTTGTCCTGCTGTCCTTAGTGCAAGGCTCCAACTAGCGCATGGCTGTACTGGCAGCTATGGGAGCCCTGGAAATCTGGAATGGCCACCGGCATTCACCACCGTCGCCTTCTACCTCCTGTCGGCCGATGCCTGAGTGAAGCCACTGCAGGGAGCCTGGCTGGGGCTAGGGGGTCACGGTGGCCCGTTTACTGGGGTGGCCCGTGGCCTTTCTGAAACCTGCGGGAGCTTCTGCCCCTTCCTCGGTTCGGTGGTTGTACATGGCATCGGTGACTCCCGGCAGCGGGCATGCAACCCTTTTTTGCCCTGTCTGGACCCCATTCTCTGGGCTTAAGGGGCCGCGCGGGCGAGGTCGGCAAGAGGTTTTCAGGCGCATAACGCAGTGGGCCCAAAGCCTCGGGATAGGCCCTGGCGACCTCCCCACGATAAGCTTCTGTCTGGAGGCCTCTCCAGCCCCCTCAGTTCCGGCGGGGCCTGCTTGGTAACAGAGCATGCTCAGAGCGCTGCTTCCGGTCCCTCATCCCCACCAAGCCTTTTCCTCTCGGTGGTACCTGGGAGGATTGGTACGCTTTCCGGTACTTGACGGAAATTGGCATCAGCATGGCGGCCCCCTGCGAGGTGAGGCATGGGGCCGAGGAGTGGGATACTCGCGAGCAGGCGGCAGAAGGAGAGTCCCGGCGCCCTTCTATCACCCTTCTCTCGGATGCTGCCTTGCAGACCGACACCGACACCGACAGCGACACCGAGGCAGGGACGGAAGCCTCGGAGCCCCGGGAGCGGGACACCCCCGAAGACATAGTGTTGGAGGCTCCGGCCAACGGGCTCGCCTTCCATCCGGCGCGGAACCTCCTGGCCGCCGGGGACGTGGACGGGGACGTGTTCGTGTGAGCGCGGGGAGGGCCAGGGTGGGGTCCTGGAGAGAGCTCACCTTTCCCGCTTATGGAGAAGCAGCGTTAGAAGGGACTGGAGCCTCTCTTTGACGGAAGAGGAAACTGAGGCCAGAGAGCGGAGGTGGCTTATCCAGTACTACTTGACTGCCCCTTCCCCCTTTCCTTGCAACAGCTTCGAGTACTCCTGCCGGGAGGGTGAAACCAAGGAGCTCTGGTCCTCGGGACACCATCTCAAGTCCTGCCGGGACCTGGCCTTCTCCGAAGATGGACGGAGTAAGTCAAGGCAGAGAAGGGGCAGCTCCGCGGGCCACTTCTGGAGCTGTTGAGCCCCCGACCGCGGGAGCCTCCTCGGGGGTAGCTGAGACCTGGTAGAAGGGATTTGTGTTGAAATATCTGTAACACTAGATATCCGAGGGTCTCTTCCAGAGCCGAGTCCACGGTTTTCATTGGGTAGGGGATGGAATAGCCCTGGCCTGGGAGTCGGGACAAGAGAAGCTCAGCAGGACCACTGTTTGATCCTTGAACTCTCCTTCTCCATTTGTTAAGTGAGAAGAGGATCGGAATAGACTTTAAGACCACAGCTTCCAATTTTTAATTTGTATCTGTGTTTGTCTTCACTAGAACTTATCACTGTTTCCAAGGATAAAGCTATTCACATTCTGGATGTGGAGCAGGGTCGCCTAGATAAGCGTATTTCCAAGGCTCACGGGTATGACAGCAATTGAGGAAATAAATTAGGGGTATTGGGAAAAGTTGGTATGCAAGATGAGGCTTCTTTTTGAACCTTTCATCACTTTTTTTTTTAACTTCCTCTCAACTCATAATCCTACTTCACAGTGTAGCTATCAACAGCTTGTTGCTAGTAGATGAGCATCTGTTAGCTACAGGGGATGATAGCGGCCGGATTCGGCTCTGGGACCAGAGGAAAGAGAGTCCAATCATGGACTTGAGGCACCATGAGGAATACATTGCAGATATGGCTCTGGATTCTGCTAAGAAGATGCTTCTTACTGCCAGGTGAAGAGCTTTGGAAGCTTCCCCACTCCCCCCCCCAAGTTAAACTGCTTCCGTAAGGGATGCCCCCCCAATCAACATTGCTTGTTTTTTCCACAGTGGGGATGGTTGCCTTGGTGTCTTCAATATCAAGCGGCATCGATTTGAACTTCTGTCAGAAGCACAGAATGGGGATTTGACCTCTGTTACCCTCATGAAGGTACAATGGAGACTTGGGGGGGGGGGACCAAAAGTAAGGCATTATCACATCTAGGATTGGTTGCTACTCCCTAGAAATAACTCCTTAATTTTCTTTGCAGAGGGGAAAGAAAGTTGCCTGTGGCTCTAGTGAGGGGACCATTTACCTCTTTAACTGGAATGGTTTTGGAGCAACCAGTGACCGTTTTGCCCTGAAGGCAGAGTCAGTTGACTGTATGGTGCCCGTCACAGACAATCTGCTATGCACAGGCTCTACTGATGGGATTATACGGTAAAAGAGGGAAAACTGGTGGAAAAAGGATTGGGCATTTGGTATGTCAGGCTTCCCCGGGGACTAATTCCATGTTTTCTCCATAGAGCAGTGAATATCCTGCCTAACCGGGTTGTGGGGAGTGTGGGGCAACATGCTGGTGAGCCTGTGGAACAATTAGCCCTCTCCCACTGTGGTCAGCTTCTTGCCAGCAGTGGCCATGACCATCGGCTCAAGTTCTGGAACATGACAGAACTTCGTTCAGTGGTAGTGGATGATTATCGGAAGCGAAAGAAGAAAGGGGGCCAACTGCAGGCTCTGAGCAGCAAGGCCTGGGGCATGGATGATTTCTTTGCTGGACTTAAGGAGGAAGAAGCCACAGTGCCTGCTCCCGTTGACGACGATGAAGAAGAAAGTGAGGACAGTGATTGAGAGGAAGGGAGTGGGGAATCATCCAGACCTATTGCAGCTGAGAAAATCAGGCCCTGCCCTCTTTTATAAAAAATCAGTTACTAAAGCCTACTTAAGGACTTTCTACAGGGCGCTTCAAGCATAATTGAGACTGAGCCCATTCTGGTTCTGAGACAGAATGGAGGAGGCATGTTAAAACCACTAGGCTCGGTAGTTGACCTGAATTTTTTTAGAGTGAGGACAGGATGACAAAACCCAGCGTGTCTAGGTCTGTGCTCTTGGGTTCCTGCTTTGAACCACTTGTCTCCAGCTGTCCCTAATCCGAATTGAACCACTTGTCTCCAGCTGTCCCTAAACTGAATGAGAAGAACCCTTATAGAGGATATACATGGACACATATACCAACCTTAGGTTTTTAATTAAATAGAAAAAAACAGATTTAAACTTACACCAACATAGAATACCAAGGGGGAAGAACAATAATGGGCAAAAGGGCCAAAAAGTTGACTTTACATCTAACTAGCCACCAAGTAAACAGCTTGAGGGACAAAACCATACAGGATTAGGTAGGTGGAAGGGATATACCTGGCATAAAGGGAATGTAACGGGAACAGAGGAGGTTTTTCCCCCTAGATCAGCCAGGGCTAGTGTTCACACTCGTCTAGCCTCAGGGCCCTGCCCTTCTTGAAAGACAAAAGAACTCTTTACCCTAAACCTCCACAGCTAACTGGTTACCAACTGACCAGGACGGCTAGGACATATTATTTTTAGCAGGAAAAGCATCCCCATCCTGGGCTCTTGTTTTCCCTTGGCTCACCTAATGCTTCTAGAAGGCGAAGGGACACAGCGTTCTTGGCAACTTCGTGTCCACTTGGCCCATCCTTTGTTACAACTACCCAGATGAGGCCACTGAAAGGCATGGGGTGACCAGGAATCACCACCTGGTACCAGAATCGGTGCCAGCCTGCAGGTCCAGCTCCCAAGCACTTAGTGAGGAATACAGGCATGCCCAGGTGTCTCTGTTGGCACAATGTCTCAAGAATAGTCTGGGCACAGCTAGGGGGTATTGGGGCCCCGAATTTCTCAGGTACGATCCTATGGCTGCTGTCAGTCCCCAAGCCCCGAAATAAAGGACCTTCAGTTTGCTGTCGGAGTCGTTGCTTCAGGTCAGGCTTCAGCCATTCCACTGTCACCTGCTCACCACAGAGCTTTGAACGCCCTGCCAGACAGAAGACACATTGGAATGATGATGGGTGGGGGGAAAGAAGACAACCTAGGCCTGGCAATAAGTATTTGGATACACCCCACACCCTCGAACAAACACGAAACCCTTAACTTGAGCTCTCCCCACTCCCTCATATGTACTAGCTTTCTTAAGAGACAAGGTTACCCTGTTTTCCTTGACTCTGCCTTTGCTCAGGCATCACTCCTACCTTCTACCAGAGCCTTCTTAGCCATGGCCGCAGCCCGGTGGGAGCTAAACTTGAGCAGCGCAATCTGTGTGGGGGGGTGCATAAGGCTGGGGAGCAGCAGTGCTTCCTGCAGACTGGAGCCCAGAGGCTGCAGGGCCTGAAGCAAGGCCTGGTGGCTCAGGGCTGGTGGCAGCCTGTCCAGCATCAGCTCGCATTTCTCGGTGCTCCGGCAGACCAGCAGTGGGCAGGCAGGCCGAAGAGGGTGGTTGTGAAGAGTGGCAATGGCAGCCTGGGCCCCGCGGCGGGAGCTGTATCGAGCGTAGGCGAAGCCTCGGTTCAGGCCACTAAATGTCATCATAAGGCGAAACTCGTAGAGACGCCCCACGCGCTGGAACAGTGGAATCAACTGGTGCTCATACACATCCTGGGGCAGGCGGCCGATGAACACCTCTGAACCTGCCGGTGGAGGGCTGCCCACCCAGCCTGGGGATAGAGTAGTCTTTGAACTGCTGACCTAGTTTGGCAAACTAACTCCAACTGGGGAGCCTTTGAAACCTGCTTTGCCACTAACTATAAACTCAGTTTGGACTTTACACCGGTCTGTAAAATTAGCAAGTTCACACTAAATTAATTTATAAAGTCTATTTCAGTTTATCAATTACTGATTGTCTATTAGTATTTCATTATTCTAAAATGCAAATAAAAACCAGTTTCTGGGTGCACGTTAGAGTATAGCTTGCTTTTCACAGAGCTTAACCATGTAGAATAACTGATTGTTTTTCTTTTCCTCTTTGGGTGCAAATCAGGGGCAGTTAAAAGGTAATTAACCCACACTCAGCTGAAGTTCGGTTCACAGGCCACTCCCCCGAGGCTGGGGGTGGGGGGAAGGGTGTCAGGCGCCTAACAGTCCTGGGCAGCAGGAAAGTCAAGTTACCCACCCCTTGGAGTTGGGGGTGCAAATTTTACCTGGGGGTGGACCGCCGTATTTCCTTTGCCCGTTCACTTGCACCAGTCGGATCCCCGTTTCCCTCACCCAAGCCTCCAGCGCAGCCTTGTTCACTGGATTCACCCGCTCACACCACAACTGGGGGAGGTGGGAGAAGGGGTGAGTATAGGAACTAGGCTCCAGACCACACTGCAAGGTAACGCTGATCCATCGGGCGGGCCAGATTGCCATCCCCCCAATCATCTCACCGTGAGGATCCCTCATCCTAGGCCACTCACCTCACATTCCCGCTTGGACTGCATGTTTAAAGGGGACCCACCCAGCCACACACCTTTATAGCCTCCCCCTAAGCCTCTGGAAACTTCGCAGCCCCCCTAGACTCCCATTGGCTATGGGGTGCGACCCCGCCCCGCATGGGAGGGGGGAGAGAACACGTGTTCTACCCTCCGGGGTATAAACAGGTGGGAGCAGGAAAACAAGGGGGGGGGGCCGCCGGGAGCCCTAGCCATTTTCCTTTTCTTCCTTTTTCACTAAGCGGTGTAGTCCCCTAGTGTGTGTGAGGAATAAAATTATGTAAAAAACCATTTTCAGTAACACTTTGCAGAAACAGGTCACCAGGGTATTGCTTCCAAACTGGGGTGCCATCAAAATATAAGAGGGAGCCCTCAGACAATCCTCCCCTGATCCATAAAGGAGCACAAGAGGGTGACTAGCAGAAACGGAGAGGAGAAGCATTAGGCATTTTATTGGACCCACAGGCAATCAGCTTCACAAAAGTCAGTGGGAAATGTCAGCATCATGGCTTTTCTGCCATAAACACAGGGGCACAACTCTACATACATAATACATGGGGCGACACCCAGGGCCAACATAGCTAGAGAAGCTTCAGTCCGTATCAGTGTCCAGGGCTACTCCAGAAAACCTCCTTGAGAAAGTGGCTCTGGCTACCCTTGCCTGTGATTTACAATAAAATATGATCTCAGTTTGGCCCTCCCTCTAATTCTTCCCGATGAAGCAGAATGTGCATAGCAACTGAAGATGGACCTAGCCTCCAAGTAGTGCAATTTATGTCCATTGACTTCCTTCAGTTCAGAAGATGGAGGGGATGTTGGCTTGTTCGTCTCCTGATTTCTTCCACAAGGTTTTCTTTCCGAACATCCACCTGGCCAAAACAGGGAAGATGGTATGAGAAGTGTCTGTTCTCCCTTTTGCCCCTACAACTTTCCATTTCTCTTTCTGCTTTCAGATTTCCTTATCTAATAATTATAATAGCTAGCATTTTTATAGCACCTATTTATATAGCCAGGCACTGTGCTAAGCACTTTTTACAAATATTATCTCATTTCATTCTCATGACAACCCATTTTACAGGTGAGGAAACTGACAGTTTAAGTGACTCGCCCAAGATCACACAGCTAGTATTTGAACTCTAATTTGAACTCAGGTCTTCCTGACTCCAGGCCCAGCTCTCTAGCCACTACACGACCTAGCTGTTTCAACTATAAGTCATGGTTCACATTTAAGCACAGACTAAGTCTGAGGAAGTTTTGGCTGGTATCCTAAAAGGCACAGGGCTACACTGGAGAATGAAGCTGACTACCAGGGTTAGGGATAAGTTGTGATATGATTTCAGGGCCATGAGGAAAAACTGAAATCCTATCAAAACATCTTCCCCACCTGCTTGCTTTTGTTGGGAGTTCAGATCCCTGTTTGGCAAACCCCAGCTATGTGACCCAGTATAAGTCACTCATTCCTTCAGTGCTCTAGGCCAGGGTGTCAAACTCAAATAGGAAGGCCACATATTGACTTAGAAAACCTCATTAACATTATCTGTGTCGTATTGTATTTATTTACTTTGTGAGACATTTCCCAATTACATTTTAGTCGGGGGTTGGACAGCATTCCTCTGCTCTAGGCAACTTTGGGATATCTAGGAATTGTATAAATAACCCTCGGGGTGGAGAGCTTCCACATTCGGGAGTTTTCTACCCCAAAGAAATCAAAGTTCCCATCCCCCAATCTCCTAGGCATAAGACACTGCTAGGTTCTGAGGAAAACAGATTTTAAAAAAATGTAAGGGCCTGTCATTTCAGTTTAACCAGCTAGAATTTCGAGTCTTAGAGAATTGTCTTAAATTCACAAAGATTAAGTTGACCTGTTCACAGTTCACAAGGTTAGTAAATGACAGAGACAGAACTCAAAATAACCCAAGTCTTTCAAACATCAGGTTGGACACTTGTCAACTCTACTGAGCTGTCTCGGTTAGGTAAACAAAAGAGCCTAATTTAAGCCAGAATGCAAGGAATCAAAGGAGAGCCCAAGGCAAAATGCTCCAGGGAAATCTGGAGTACACAGTTCCACGACAAGAGAAAAGTGGCAAAGAGAGCCAAGAATTGAGGCATTTGGGGTTTGGAGGGGTGGGGGGGAGGCAGGGAAGGGAGGCAGCCAGTCCAAAAGCCCAGGAGATAAGGCTCAGGAAACAGCTGTCAGGGCAGGGTATAATTTGTGAAGGTGTCCATGGTGATTTCAGCCTCATTTGAGGCCAAAGAGGGAAACCAGACTTGCTTCAACTTAAAATTCTGCGTCCTGGGTCCTTCTACTTTAGCTCCCTCTGGGCTGGCTCACTCACCTCTTCTCTGCTGGCCACAGAGCGCAGCTTGACAACCCCATCCTTCAGCTCTTGCTCCCCAATGATGGCCACCAATGGAATGCCAGTCTCCTCGCAGTACTGCAACTGGGTGAGCAGCTTGGGGTTCTTCTTGTACAGTAGCTCAGCCTAAAGAGACCAGGGCAGAGCAGGGGCTGAGACAGAGCCTTGTGTCAGAGAGAAGATTTCTGTTTGGCCCACAGTCCAACACAGAGATTGTACTCTGCTGGTAGTTCATTTGGTCCCAGGAATTACCCCTGTTGACCCACTGTGGAAAATGAAAGGGAGCCCTAAGATCGATGTTTAGAATCGAATTCTAAAGCAACAGAGAGTAGCACTTTCTTTGGGGACTCCAGGGTCATTCATCCATACCTTAATGCCCCTGTCCCACAGTTCTGCAACAAGCTTGAGCCTTTCCTCCAAGAGCTTCTTTTGGGCTGCAGCCACAAGCACCTGGGTCTCTGTTGTCCGCACTTTTTCTTCAGAAGCCTAAGGAATGGGCAGATAGGGGCACAGGTTGTGCATGACAAGTTAACACTGGCAAACTGGATCTCCTCAAGCTTCTGAGCCAGAAGGAATGGCAGAAGTTGGGAAGAACAGCCCAGGAGCCAATCTTTCACCCCACCCTACCCCTCTTCAGTGAAATTACAGCCAATTCAGACTCACAGTCCATTCCCCCAACCAAAGAGGATAATACATGAATATTCACAAGATCGCACTTTGAAAAGAACAAAGGAGAACAAAGCAGAACAAGTATCTTATTTTCATGTAGTCCCCAGAGGTAGATTTGATTAACAAAGTCACTGCTCCTTTCCTCTTCACAGCTCCAGTACACAAAGAGCACCTCAGAAAAGATTTTTCTATTTGGTTATACACCCACCTTCACACATAGTACCTTCCAGTAAGGAGAAAGGGGCTTCAAAATCTGAAATTGTTCAGAAGTTCCAAGCAGACAGTTTGCAAATGAGGATAGCAGTCTTGGCCTCCCAGGAGCATGACCACAACTCTGGGAGGCTCAACAGATATTATCCCCATTTGACAGAGGACCGATATTGAAATTCAGAGAGCTAACTGCCTGTGGTCATATACTGTTAAATAACTATCCAAGATTAGCCTGGAATACAGTCATTCTGCTTCTAAATCAGCCGTCTGCTCACTCTAAAGCCTGATTTCTGAGTCCCATTTATTGGAATAATAGAAGGCAGGCTAAGAACTCACTAAGAAAAACTGACTCAATGAGTAGTTGCCAGATAAGGTGGCCCAGAGATTTCAGGCGGGGCTTTCCCACCTTCCAATGTCAGGTCCTGGTGCAGGGGTGGGGGTGGGGGGGTGGGGTGTGTGTGTGTGTGTGTGTGTGTGTGTGTGTGTGTGTGTGTGTGTGTGTGTGTGTGTGTGTGTGTGTGCTGAATCAGGGCTGGGATTTTATCATGAAGGGAAGTTTCCTGTGGAGAGAGACTCCTGTTCAGTAAGCTGGTCTTGGAGGATTGCCTGGGGCCACCGAAAAATTCAGTGACTCTCCACCAAGACTGCCATCATAAGAAGGTCAGAGGGAACACACTCGAGTCCAGGTCTTTCTGCCTCCCAAACCAGCTTTCTAGCCACTACTCCAAGCTGCCTTCTCCACCTCTTCTCTGTAAATCATAAAGCCCTACATGTGTCACTATAATTACAAACTATGCACTTAATGGTATTACAAATTTGAATACATCTAATCTCTCATCACCAGCTCCACTAGAAGATAGGATCTATCAGAGGGGTGGGGAACTTTACAGCCCAGAATTCCCCACCCCTGGTCTCCCTAATTTCTCTTCATTCTATACACTCAGTTCAAACAATAGCACTAAATAAAAGGTTTGCCTGGGAAGAGTAGCAAGGGAAGGCAAGGACCAACAACAATAAAGGGGGCCATCAATACAAGTCTAAGTGGCTGGAGATGAACCCGGCCAGCAGGGACCGAGTACCAACTAAACCAAACCTACCACAGCGATATTCTTTTCTAGACTCTTCCCAAAGAAAAAAAACAAACAAAAAAACTCCACCCCTTTCCCAACTACAGACTTACTAACTGGCATATGAGTTAACAAGCTACTTAGCCATTTCTTTCTTTGCCTTTAAATGTAAAATGGAATTGACACAATATTCCTAACAGGGTCCTACCTCCATCCTCTGTTCCACAATGGAGAAGATCCTTTCAACCCCAACGCTGAGCCCCACACAGGGCACCTTTCTGCCCTTGGGGTCAAACATGCCAACAAGCCCATCATAGCGCCCTCCGGCAGCCACACTGCCCACACCAAGTGGTTCCTCCCCCTGTCTGGCTGTGGTCTGAAGAAGCACTGCTTCATAGATCACCCCTGTATAGTAGTCCAGGCCTCGGGCCAGGCTCAGGTCAAAGGAGATCTGTGGGGACATGGAGATATGGTCAGTCTCATGGGACAGAGATGTCTGGGATCCTCTGCAATCTTCCGGGGCCTGCCCTTCCCCTACTCACCTTCTCTGTAATACCAAACAGGGTCAGATACTCAAATAGCAGTTTCAGGTCCCTCAACCCCTCCTGGGCCTGCTTGTTCTGTGAGAGTTTGGGATCCTGCAGTAGCTGCTCTACTAGGGACACTCCACCTGGGAAAAACAGACAAAGAGAGGAAAGGGTGCCACCCATCAATCTTTCAATGATTACTTGGATTGTACCACAATCTAATACCACCTTACTACCCCAACTGTCTAATCTTTTCAACCAGTATGAATACTTACCTCATACATACGGGTCAAAAATAGTAAGAAAATCCATTACAGCATAAGGAAAATAAGGAACCGCCGAAGCAACATGCACTGGAGGAGCGGTTCACTTTACAGTGGGAAAAGCAGCAACCCCCTCCCCCCCAATCCCCCAAGAATGTCATCATAGATTACCTCTTCCCCTCTCAAAATCTTACCATGCTGTTTTACATAGGCCCCAATATGATCTGCCACCTCAGGGGCCAGGCCTTTCTCTTCCACCATTTCATTCTTCACATCTTCCCACGACATCTGCATAGACATTGGATTCAGGGGGCCCAGAATGGATTCACAACAGTGGAATGGGCTTTATTCTTCAGGATGAAGGATTTTTAGGGCAGAGATCTCTGCCTCTCAACTCAGAGTAAAGGCCCTCTCCCTCCCAGATACTGTTTCCCATTTCCTGAGACAGGGTAACTTTCAGGGGAAAGAAGTAGGAGTTGTATAACTAAGTTAGTTGTCACCTTGTCTAGCTTGTCCACTGAAGAGCAAATGGTACGGAACTTGCTGTCAGGAACACCACAGACATTGAACATTCCATCCAGAATTCGCCTGTCATTCACCTGAGGATTCCAAAGTCACTTTAAGAAGTAGAAGTCCCTACCCACAACTTTTCCCCTTCAAGATCCATGACAGCTATAGTAGTCCTAAGGTATATTTTTGACTCTCCAAATTGGACAGGAGAGTTCAGCCACAGGAGGGGAAGGCCAGGACTGCTACTCACTCCTGATTGTTAGTACCATAATTAGTACCACCAGGGCAGACACAGCCTTTCCTCTCACCTTGATCTGGAAGTCCCCCAGCTGAAGTGTGCTGAGGATCTCACAGATGATCTTCAGACATTCTGCATCAGGGATCATGGGGTCAAACTGCCCAGCAATGTCAAAATCCTGCACAAAAAGCGACAGGAAGAAGCCCCCAGTCAAGAGGACCAATTTCCAGGCCCCAGTGCTACAGTCTCCCGACACGCACAGGCAATATCCTCTCCCGCATTCAAAAGACTATAGACCTCATCTATCCCCTTCACTGCACTTCAGAGCCTGAAAGATGACACACAGTCACGAAACTCTTTAGACCATGCTGTTTTACTCTATTTTCTATTCATTCCCATCATCTCTTTTAGTGAAATCTCCCCTCAAGGGCTTTTCCTTTAGCTATTTATTTACTCTTTCCCTGCTCAGACTAGAGCTCTGATTAATTCTAATGCCCATACAGCTGGTTTTCACATCTCCATTTTTAGCTCCTTATGTATCTAGACATAGGTACCATGCCTATATATGCTCCTCAGGAAAGTGAAAACTTATTAAAATCTAACTGATCTCAGTAAGGACTCAATGCTCTGAGCTTTCTTGGCTCTGGGACACTCACACACTGGTAGAACTCCCGGTAACGGCCACGAGTCATTGCAGGGTTATCTCGCCGGTACACCTTTGCAATGTGGTAGCGTTTAATGTTGGTCAGCTTATTCATTGCCAGGTATCGAGCAAAAGGAACCTGACAGTGGGTTAAGGAGAAAGTTCCTCTTGTTCAGAGCCAATTGTCACCACCAGCAGAAGCTACCTGAAAACAAAGTGGCCATACTCTCCCTAGGTACCTTGTGTAGTTGGATTACCCCAGTAAGGGTTATCAGAACCTTGGAATACTCAAAAGGATGATCCCTGACACTGCAGAAATACCAATGTGGAAGAAATCCTGCATTATGCTTAGTGCCTGTAGGACCATGCTATGATTACTTTTCTGGAACAATCAGAATAGAATGGATTCATCATGGATGCATAAGTATGCTTTCTTATCATTAAAAGGAAAAGAACATCATTCTTTACTGAAGATTTACCCAATGGCCTGAACAGTCTGCAAGACAGGCAAAAGAATAGTATTCCAGAATCAGGAGATTTATAATGGATTCAGATTTGGACTCTGGTAGTACATTAAGTTCCTCTATGTTCCTAGGGGTTCCTAAGGGTGGGCCCTGCTAATTAGAATTTGCAACTCTATTTTAGACAGGGGCTTCATCTAACTCACTCTAAACTGATTCTCTGGATCATTTATTCAAGGACTTCTTCCAATCTGTGTTTAATGTTCTCTGAATCTGAGGATTCCATCACTTCCTGTCAATTAAAGTCCTATTTAAATGACAGCTTCCTAGAGTTCACTTTGAAAGGATACAGTGAGGTCATAACGAAGGGCCAACAGCTCACCACCCTGATCCTTCAGGTCATAGATGAGCTTAGAGTCCTCCCCATACTTTCCAGTCAGTGTTTCCTAGAAGGAAAAGATGAAAATATAGAGTTGCTTTAATGACTTCACCTAACCCCAGATTAAGATGCCTAGTATTGTGTAACCCTAATAGCCTAAGAAGTACAATCAATTGTCCTGTAGGGTATTCTGTTAGAGGACTTCAAGACTAGTTACAGCTGCAGCTATCCCCCAATAAAAACAGCTGTCTAAAACAGGAACCAAAGCCACAGAAAACAATGTAGGGAAAATTATGTTGGTTCCTATTTTTAAATGGAAATCAAGTTCCTGTACATCAGGAATAGAGCTGGGATTGTCTGTAACCACCTTAATAGCTGATCCCTCATGACTATATCCCCTTGTTATCTAACCTACTGTGTATCTGCCCTGCCCTCCCCATCTTCTTGCCAAACACCTCTCCCTTGGCCTTGACCCTCACCTTCAATTCAAACACAGGAGTATCTATTACTTCTGCACCATGGCGCTTGAAGCAGCTGATGATCACATCAAAAACCTTCTCCCGAACAGCCATCTGCCTAGGGCTGTAATCCCTTGTGCCCTTGTAGTCAAAATCAGTCACCCAATCAAAGAAGAAAAAAAGCAAACAAACAAGCAACTCAGTAATAAGAAATCAGGAGGAGGTAGTATTTCAGAAGCATTCTATTTGTAATCTCAATTATAATGGAACAAAATTGCATTTAACTTCCTTTTAACAACCAAGCCAAATCTGCATGGACGGAAGAGGGGTTAGGCAGGATAGCTTCATCTAAATAAAAGAAGGCTTTTAACCTTCAGAGTTGTGCTTGGCGAGGGATATTTGGTTGGTTGGTTTTAATTTATGTTTTCTTAAAATAAAAAACAAAACAAAACAGATTTCAACAGAATTGCTGCCAACCTCCACTAGATTCTTAAGCATCTGCAGTAGTGGCAGTTCTGTAGGTTGAGATGACTAAGATCCCGCCTATCTTGACAAATTTGTAACACCCAGGTGCAACCCCATTCCACCCAAGTGCCGAAAGTGCTGTCTGTTTTGTGAAACAGGCTAAACACTTCTTCCCTCCTGCCTCCTGTGAGAAAGCCATGTTTTCAAGTCTATGACACTGTGACCAGACCTCTTTCTGAACTTATTTCATTTCTCTTTGGGGCTTTTGTTACTAAATTCTTTGAAGGTAGGGTTTAAATATCACCAACTTTGTATCCTCAGCATCTATTAATGTCTTGAACTTGTTAAAGTGAACACACCACATATATATGGGTCAGATGTTGGCCTTCTCTAGCTGGGGGCTGGGAGGGAGAAAGAAAGAATCTGGAACTCAAAATATAACCAAGAAAAAAACAGAATATATAAAAATAAATAGAATTCACAATAAGGCTCATCAAAGACTCTCTGAAACGCTTCTCTAAAAACACATTTACCTTTGGAGTTTTAAGCACAAACTTCTGTTTTCCTTCATCAGGGCCCAGTTCTGCCTTCAGCTTCAGGAGCTTCGAAACCTCCTCCTCGATCTGAGAAGGAAGGGCCTCAATAAATACGGGGATTTGGAAGGATCTGGTCCCTACCCAGGGCCCTCATCAATCACTATTTTGGAGAGGCATGTGGGTACCGGGGGGGGGGGGGTTCCAGACCTCTGACTCATAGCTAGCTGTGTGACCACGGGCCAGTTGCTTTCCCTTTCTACCTCTGTTTCCTCATCTGTAAAATGGGAATAATAACAGTGCCAATCTCACTGGCACTCTCAAAGAGAGAGAATGAATATAAAGCACCTTAAAGAATCGGAACAACGTCAGCAGGAGGGTCTCCTTCAGGACCTGAGTCTCGTCCCTTTCAAGGCTCCCGCCTGGCCCCTTTCCGCCTTCCGTACCAGACCCCTAGCCAGAGCTCCGTTTACCCCGGGACCCGATCCGGCCGGGACGACGCCCTCACCAGCTCGGCGCCTGCCTTCTGCTGCTTGAGACCCCGAACTCTCTCGCCCTGGAGCCTCACGGCCTCCTCCAGCGCCGCTCGGCCCGCCATCGTCTAAACGGCCGCCGCTGTCACGGACTACTTCCGGCCACCGAGCTCAAGCGGAGGATCGGGCGCCCAGAGAGAGCTTCCGCCCGGCGCGCGCTTAAACCGGAAGAGCGGAAGCCCAGAGGCCGGAGCAACCCGGTCCCGACCCCATGTGGCACTCCCCTCTGGCCGCCTGCCCCTGGGCGAGTTCCTTGGAACTCTTTGCCTCAGTTTCCCCCTCGCTAACCTGGTGACCAGCCCTTTCTCACTCCCTGGACCCAGCCCAGGCGCTCTCTCTGCCTTAATCCTCCCTGCCCCTTCCTCCGGTGTACAGCCTTCTGCGGGACTGCACGAACCGCAGAACCGCGGGAAGAGAAGCCCCCACCCCTCGCCATGCAGCGCCTCGGACCCTGGTCTCGGGAGGCCTGGGCCGCGCTGGCCCTCCAGTTGCTGCGACCTCCCCGCGCCCCGTGCGCCGGGGCCACGCTGCATTTCCGCCGGGTGCAAGGAGGCCTGGTGCAGCCTCCAGGGCGGGAGGTATGTTCAGCCTTCTCACGTTTTTCAGCGTTTTTCTAGGGCTCCTTGGATCACGTTCTACTTTGTCGGTCAGTCTTCCCAATTAAGATTGTAAGGGCAGAACCTTTATGGTCGTGGAGGTGAACTGAGTTTCCTAACTGTTCTCGGACTGATTCCACCACTGTGTGAATGAGTTAAATTCGTTCAAACCCAGGAATCCGACTTTTGAATTTGTATCCTACGATATGAGTAGGTTTTTAAATAAATGCTTGATTTATTTAAAAGATCTTAGTTTCCTCATCGGTAAAACGAAGGTTTAAATTAAATGGGCCTCTTCTAGTTCCAACATTTTCATGATTTTGCGTTTTGACCTTAGTTCCCCAGAATTGACTTTGGATTTTGAGCCAATGGACGGACCTCAGTGCTTCGCTCTCTAGTGTTTGTGAAATGGAGTCCCATAGTCTATGATTTTAATTTATTCACGTATAATTATACATTTTGTTCAGACACATCATGCAGAGAACCTCGGGACTGTCAATTGAATCATCCACAGGAATCTTCGAAATCCTCACCTAAATGAAGACTTCAAGCAAAGCCAGATGGCTACTTGTTTGTCATGTTATAGAGTGGATCCCTGTTTAGGCACAGGTTGAGATAATTGGTTTCTGAGGCCCCGTCTAGCACCGAATGAATGAAAAAATATTTAAGTTTGGACTAAGCTCAAAGCATTGTGCTAAGCACTGACAATACGAATAGAAAAGCTATGCAGTCCCTGTTCTCAAAAAGCTCACATTCTAGTAGAGGAAACCCTGAATACAGAAGATTTCAATTGCGAATCAGACAGAACGGTCCCATGATCCTTATGGTGTAGGGCCAAAGCAGGTAATAATGTCTTCTTTAGAGGTTTCGTAGTCCTACAATTTAGAAACCCTCACCTCTCTAAATTTCTGTTTCCTCATTTTAAAAATAAGGATAATACTTGAACACAGTTTACCTTACAGGTGTGAGGAAAACACATTGCAAACATTAAAATATTATATAAAAGTGAGTTATTACTGTAATCATTGTTAGAGATGAATAAATTGCTGCCCTGAGAAATTAAATGCCCAGAGTCACCCAGTTATTAAGTAACAATACAAGGACTATCTTGAGGTACAACTCTGTTTTCTCAGGTTTCTGAGAAGCCTTATTGTATAGCCTGCTATAATAAACTAGTATTTTTCCATAGAATTAAATTTTTTCACACATACTGCCAAAAAAATGATAGGGTCTCTTCCCTTGAAGAACTTACAATCTAGTACTGTGATGCAGTGAAAAGTGTGTTGGGTTTGGATTCAGAGGACCTGGGTTTAAACCCTAAACTGTCACTAATCCCCTGTGTGACCTTCGGTAAGCTACACAAACTTTCTAGGCCTCAGTTTCCTTATCTGTATTTAAAATGAGGGGATTGAATTAGATGATCTTTAAGGTCCCTTCCAGCTTCAAATCTTTCATCTTTTTCATTGGGGGATAAGGGGAAAGGAATAAGCATTTATATATAACGCCTGTTGTGTGCTGGCACTGTGCTAAGCACTTTTTTACTGATATCTCATTTGACCCCCACAGCTTCCTTGAGAGTTAGGTGCTGTTATTATTCCTATTTTGGGTTTTAGGAGACTAAGGCAAGTAGGTTGTGACTTTCCTAGGGTGATACATAGCTAGTCCAATTTTGAACTCAGGTCTTCCAGACTTTAAGCCTAGTGTTCTAGTCCCTGGGCCAGTATCGACCTCAATAGGGGAGTTAATAATCTAATGCTAACAGATAAAAATCTAATAAATTATTCTTGTTGTATCTTCATTTTTTTAATCTTTAAAACATCATTCTGTTAGAACCCATCTAGATCCAAAGGGCCATAGCTTACCCCTTTTGTAGGGAGTCACCTTTCTGATCTGTCATTATTATTTTTATTTTTTGAAACTAGAGGTTAAGACCCTTTTTAGTTCCTGGTCTTGCCATAGGCTTTTTTTTTTTGGTAAGTTCTTGTTTGTTTCTGGGTCTTAGTTTCCTTGGGTATAAGTTAGCAAAAAATCTTGAGTAGGATTGACTAGCTGAGTTTGACTTAGCAAAAAGTACAGCTGGTGTTTGACCCTCCCAGGGATGGAGGGTACCAGAATGAGAGTAAATCATACTGTATGGTGGGAAGGATATCTCAATACAATGAGAGCCCCTGGGAAAAATATCTAACTTCATTCAAAATCCTTTATGGACACAATTCGGGCACAAGTGAAGAGCCTGTAGAACATTTTTCCTTGTAACTGGAAGACTGGAAATTCAAAGGGTCAGAGATGTAAGCCATTGTTTCCTTTCAGTTTGCAGAGGCCAGGTTGAAGACTCAGCTGGAATCAGATAAAGAGAAATCCAATTTTGTTATCAAGACTCCCAAGGTAATCCTTTTCTCTCTTCCATTTTGTTCTCCTTTTCCAATATCCTGGGTACTTGGGAGGAGAAATCTGCTTCTATTTGAGTTGGGACCTTGCAGTGAATTAGAGTTTGTATCATATAATGGATAGAATTGTACTTGAAGTCAGAAAGAGCTGGGTTCAACTCCTACATGACATTTACTAACTATATGATCCTTGTCAGGATACTTCACTTCTCAGTTTCTTCATTTGTAAAATAAGGATAATAATAGTACCTCCCTCATAGGGTTGTTGTGAGAATAGTGTATGTAAAGTACTTTACAAACCTTGAAGTGCTTTACAAGTGCAAACTATTGTAAGGTCTGTCCATCATTCCCTGTTTCGTAAGCCTTCTTTAAATTCTTCCCTTACTTTCCTTTATTCTGGTTGCTTTTGGCTCATAGGGTACCAGAGATCTTGGCCCTCAACAGATGGCTATTCGAGAGAAAATCCTTACTGCTGTCATCAGCTGCTTCAAGCGCCATGGAGCTAAAGGGCTAGACACTCCAGCATTTGAACTAAAGGTGACAGAAAGGACAAGGAGGGAAGGAGGAGTAGTGTTGAAATTCTTTCTTTCTTAGCCTCCAGTATCCCAAACCATATTTTTTAAGCTGTAGACTTGTGCTTGTCCAGGAAGTGCTAACGGAGAAGTATGGAGAGAACTCCAGACTCATCTATGAACTGAAGGATCAGGGTGGGGAACTACTGGCTCTTCGATATGACCTCACAGTATCCTTCTAAGAACTGTTTTACTTTATCTCAGACTGTCCTTGCCCAAGTCAAGGGAGGGAATTGTGGATGTCATGGTCATTTCTGGAGCTCTGATTCCTGTGTTATGTTAGGTGGCATTCCCATAAGGGGTGAAGGTGGTGAAGATTAGGCTTTCAAACTTAAATAATCTGGGAGAATGATTGAGGTGAATAGGAAGGAAGGATCCCAGGGGTTTTAGGCCACTTAGAGCCTTGTTTCCCTTTCCCTGAATTTTCAGTTTGACAAGATGATGGAATCTACTGCTAGAGGTATGAATTTCCCTAGTATCTGATTTGTATAGATGCAGTTGGTTGCCAGCTCTGTAGTAAAAGTGCTTTTTCCTTAATAATTTCTTGTGAGGTCCCTTTTGCTCGTTACCTGGCCATGAATAAGATAAAGAAGATAAAACGCTATCACATTGGGAAGGTGTGGCGACGGGAGAGTCCCTCCATAACCCAAGGTCGATACCGAGAGTTCTGCCAGTGTGTGAGTGCCTGGGTTAATGAGCAGTGGGAAGGGAGTTTTCTGAGTAACACCCCTAGAAAAACAGATTTAATTAGACGGTTTTCAAATTTTCACTCTTTCCTTTTGCTACAGGATTTTGACATTGCAGGTCATTTTGATCCCATGATCCCTGATGCAGAGTGTTTAAAGATCATCTATGAAATCCTAAATGCATTGCAATTGGGGGACTTCTTAATTAAGGTGAATGTGAAAACAAGAGAAGGGAGGTGTGCATGACCTGAGATTATTTCCTTCAGTTCTCTTCTTACCTGCATGGTAGTCCCAGCCTTACTCCTTGGCTTTAGCAGCTGTTTCTGTATAGTCTGATTGCAAGGCTTCTCTTTTCCTCCTTTTATTAGAGGGAATCACTGGGAAAGGAGAATAGATCTCTCTTTTGGGAATAGGTGTTGATGGAGTATCTGGTGTATATGGAATTCACAGGTGAATGACAGGCGAATTCTGCATGGGATGTTTGCTGTCTGTGGTGTCCCTGATAACAAATTCCACCTTATCTCTGCCTCAGTGGATAAGCTGGGCAAGGTAAGAAAGTAAGATCTTTTCATTTTCTCTCATCTAAGTTTTTGTAGCTTAACTCTTTCTGGGCCATTTTGTTTCAGAAACTTAAAGGACAGTGTATAAAATAAGCTGTTGTAAAGAGGTGCAGAGAACGTCTAAACCATGATCTGATTTCAGTCCTTCGGTGGGGACTTGAAGTTTACCTCTTTGCCTAATAACAGTTTTCATTAATATCTATATGTAAGGTTTACAAAGTACTTTCCTCACAACAGTCCTATGAGGAAGCCATTAAAATTATAATTATCCTTATTTTACAGGTTAGGGAATAAACAGTTCAAGTGACTTGCCTTGAGTCACATAGCTAGTAATGGTTGAAGACAAAATTCCAACTTAGTTCTTTCCTGAACCCCAGGTTTTCATTCTATCCATTACTTTATCCTAATTCTTGTCTATTATAGATTTTAAGCACATGGTAGGCATTCAAATGCTTACTGATTGAATTGTAATGCCTGTTGTTATGAAAGAAAGTAGGTTCTTGGATATAAGCTAATTATTTCTCTATCTACAGATGTCCTGGAAGGATGTGAGACAAGAGATGGTAGGAAAGATGGCTCTGGCTCCTGAAGTGGCAGATTGCATTGGGGTTTACATCCAGCAGCACGGTAAGAAGCAGGTTCCCCAAGAATTGAATGTACATATAATAGGGGCTAGAATCTGTATATGTTGCATATCTAACAGTGAGCTGAGCCCACTTTTCTAGAGAGACAGATAGGTCCCTTGAGATAAAGCTGGTCTCGAACTTGTTTCAGCCTTTTCCTATCTTTTTTGCTTCTTTAGAAGAAGGAAGAAAGCAGAAGCAGGGGAATAACAGTGGTAGTGGGACTTCTCTCAAGCACCATGGTGTGGATTTTTTTGGAAAGATAGTGAGGTAGAGTAAAAAGGACACTGAACTTGAAGTCAAGAAAGACCTCAATTAGAATCTTGCCTTTGATACATACTGGCTTTGTGACTTAACCTCTGAGTCTCTGCTCATTTATGCAATGGAAATAATAATCTTTATAATACTTATCTCACAGGGTTGATGTGAAGATTAAATAAAATATGTAAAGTAGTTTGAATGCCAGCTAATTTTATTGTTTTTATCATCTTATTTTTTTGTTTGCATAGACTTGTTTGATTGAATCCAAAGATCTTATTTCCCCTGGCTATCTGACTTTTACGTTTGACTTTCCCAGGTGGAGTGTCCCTAGTAGAGCAGCTACTGCAGGATCCCAAACTCTCACAGAACAAGCAGGCCCAGGAGGGGTTGAGGGACCTGAAACTGCTATTTGAGTATCTGACCCTGTTTGGTATTACAGAGAAGGTGAGTAGGGGAAGGGCAGGCCCCGGAAGATTGCAGAGGATCCCAGACATCTCTGTCCCATGAGACTGACCATATCTCCATGTCCCCACAGATCTCCTTTGACCTGAGCCTGGCCCGAGGCCTGGACTACTATACAGGGGTGATCTATGAAGCAGTGCTTCTTCAGACCGCAGCCAGACAGGGGGAGGAACCACTTGGTGTGGGCAGTGTGGCTGCCGGAGGGCGCTATGATGGGCTTGTTGGCATGTTTGACCCCAAGGGCAGAAAGGTGCCCTGTGTGGGGCTCAGCGTTGGGGTTGAAAGGATCTTCTCCATTGTGGAACAGAGGATGGAGGTAGGACCCTGTTAGGAGTAAGTGGAGAAGTCCCTTCCACACTTCCTAAGACTGTCCAGACCCTCTTTCTGAAAGTGAGTGGCTCCTGATCCTGATTTGTTGAAGAGGAATTTTAGCCAGTGTTTTTTGCCTTTCTTCTCTAGGCCACGGAGAAAATTCAGGTGACAGAGACACAGGTCCTTGTGGCTGCAGCACAAAAGAATTTCCTTAAAGAACGGATGAAACTGATTGCAGAGCTCTGGGATGCTGGGATCAAGGTAAGATAGAACAGGTGCCAGTGTCCTGTGGTCTGGGGAAATACTCCCCTGAATCTATCTGGTCACAATTAGAGCAGCTTTTTCTAGGGGAGGAGGGCCAGGTGTTGGAATGAGTCTTTTTTTCTAGGGGTGGGAGAACATGGGGAGGAGGGTGGTGAGGCAATGGGTGTACTATATCCAATGCCAAATGCCAGGGGTTATCTGTTGCTTCAAGGCTGAGATGCTTTATAAGAAGAACCCCAGTTTCCTGACTCAGCTGCATTACTGTGAGGAAACAGGCATTCCATTGGTGGCCATTATTGGGGAGCAAGAACTAAAAGATGGTGTCATTAAGCTTCGTTCTGTGGCCAGCAGGGAGGAGGTAAGACAGTGATGGCAGAGGTAGGGCAGATCAAATTGTCCAAGAGAACTATGCTATTAAAAAATTCTTGGGAATAGTGAATTGTAGGGCAGCTGAGATTCTAGAGAAGACAAGTAGCCACCACAATAGCCTGGAACAAGGGGCTCAGAAATTAGATAGGCCAGAGACAGATGACATATATCTACATGGCTAGATTTTGGAAGTTAGTTAAACAATAATCAGACTACATAGTCTTGTCTTCTGTGACTTTAATTTGGATAGATGGATCTTACACAAAAACACTGACGACATGCACTTGCAAACACCTTTGTGATAATTGCATATGTAGATGCTGACAGACTATAGGGTGAAAGAACTAGCGAGCAGAGCTGCTGAAGAATTTATTTTTCTATAACTCACATGACAACTTCCATGTTTCAGGTGGACATTAAACGGGAAAATATTGTAACTGAAATCCAGAGGAGAATGTCTGAATCCTGATCTTGCCTGTTCTTCATCTGCTACTTGTTTCAGTGGTGAAGATCTAGTCCACTATGATGGCCCTATCCAGTTTCACATTTGGGTCAGGGTAGACTATACATCCCTTCTGCCTCCTTCCTGCAACTCCCTCTTCTGTGCCCCTTGTTTGGAGGTGAGGGAGTATCAGTGGCACGTGGACTCCTGAATCCTCTTGTTTTATCACTGGTGTTTGAGAGGAAGCCAGAGCATCCACTTTTAACAGGTGGGGGATAGTGCTTTCTATAATAGAATATGTCACAGAGACACTACAGAGACAGTGGTATATTTGTACTATCACTGACTGCAAACAAGACTTTAAGTTGAACTGTGTTCTCTGAGCAGTCTTTGAGGGAGTTAAACTCTGAAGGAATCTTGAAGTGTGAGGAAGTTCTTTCTGAGGTCAGAACTCAGCTACTCAGGAAAGGTCTACACCAACCAGGAAAAAAGCTTGACTGTCCTAGAGATATGCTTCCATCCTGTTACTGTCTTGCTTGGGGTGTTGTAAAGAGACAGGAAAGAGGGAGGAGTGGATGTCTGAGTCCATACTCAAATGAGATTAAAAAAAAGCATGATATAACTCCTTTCCTAGCTTTTCTTCCTTGTGCTAGGGATAAACTAAAGTTTAGTTTCCTCATGGTTTTGGATGTTGAGCTGAGCAGGTCACTTTAGCTCTCTAGGCTTCAGTTCCTTATCTGTAAAATGAAGAGGTTGAACCAGATGACCTCTGAGGTGCCTTCTAGTTGTACATGTATGAAACATGTCCCCATGAACCATAACAACAAAAAGGAACACTTGATAAGTAAGGATGAGATTGGTGCCTTCTCCCCCTCCACTGATCCTAGGTATACAATCATCATATTGCAATATTTTTCCTGGGCCAGACCAGCGGCTGTTACTATCCTGTGGCTTGCCATATGAGTAGCTATTTGGAGATGGTTTTATAATATATTGAATGTAACTAATTTAGACACTTTGTAATTAGAAGCATTTGATTTACATCGAGTATGGGGAATGATTTGGGTATAAAAATCTGGGCTATCTTTGATCTGAGATTATAACTTTACTGTTACATATTCATACATTTCTGTGGAGATTTCTGTCCTTACTATAGTTATTCTGTTCTTCTTGGGAAGGTGCCAAGTTCCGAGTGGCATCTAGTGTTTTGGCCCTTTATTATGTACCCAGTAGCAGGCACTGAAGTGAACTAATCTCCTTTATCACTACAACACAAGAGGAAAACACCCATGTACTTAATATTCTGATTGTTTGCAACCGAAGTGTTCACAGCCTATTCTCCTTTTCTCCATTGTTAGGAATGTATAACTAAAACCACTCCCACAAAGGTCATTATGCTCAGAAGACAAGCTTGGGCTTTTCTGGGTTTTAGGATTGCCTTTGCCAGCCTAAGATCCTGCCTAAGAACTGCGTCCTCCGACTCCAGGCCGGCCTTTGGACAGAGCTTAATAAGTCGGCCCCTGAAGACCGTGGGAGGTGGGGGTGGGGCAATGGAGGGAGGGGGAGGTGCTGGGTTCTTCTTCCCTCGCTGTGGCTTCAGCTTCTGAGCAGGGCCGGGCCGGCGCGGACCCTCATGGAGTTGGCCCCTTTGTGGGACCCTCTCCCCGGGCACTGACGGTTGGTGTCAAATGTCAGTCTCCCGTCTCCCCGCCCCCGGGGGCGTGTTCCTTCCTGGGCATTCTGATTCCTTTCCGTGCTGTGTGAGCCAGCCACAATCTCTCCGGGCTAGTTTCTGCGTTCATAAAACGAGGGTTGGGTTTAAGCTTTGATTTGTAAAAGACTTTTCAGGAAATAAAACGTCCTTCTATCGCTTCGTGTGGCGCGTGCGCAATTTGTGAGGGGTGTGCGTTAATGCTGCGGGTGAGATGGAAGTGCTTATCTCGGAAGTCCTCCGGTGCCGCTCTAGCCTGGTAGTACGATAGAGACTTCGGAGGACCGCTCTGCTTTACGGCTCCAGGCAGTCTTTACATTATTTTCCGTCTTCATCTTCACTTCGCCGCGAAGATGGCGTCTGGCAGCGGGGTAGGTGTCTTGTGGGGGGCGGAGGAGTTTCGGGGGTTTCGTCTGGATTCCAGTGTTCTTTCTCACAGAGCTTCCTCTCCAGCCTGGCCCCGGAGGCGGCAGTCCCAGGTTTGCGGCCGCTTCCTTCGGCACAGTGTCGCGCCGAGCAGCCGGGGTCCGGGGTCCGAAGCTGCCTGGGCCTGGGGTGGGGGGCTTCAGCTGCGGAGGCTCGCTGCCGCCGTGCCCGGGCACCCCGTTGAGCCTGCGGTGGTCGCTTACTGTGTGCAGAGTGTGTGCCAAGCACTGGGGCAGATAGAAACTACCCAACATTGTGTGGCCTTGTGGAGTTTAGTGGCTAGGCTGAGGGTAAGACGCCAGCCCATTTAGTTACAATACACAGTATTAAGTGACTCTTGCTTTGTGCTTTCTGAGGATGTAGACAGTGATGGAAGATCCCTTGAAGGAGATGGCATTTGAGCCTGGCTTTATCGAATGTATTTAACAGGCTAATTGGAGAAGGGAAGGGAGGACTGATATTCCAGACTTTGGAAACCACGCTCTGAGCTAAGGCGGTGCTATATTTTCAGTGCTTGGGTACTGGAAAACTACCAACTGGTAGGATTCCATGGGAAAGGTAGCAGAAAATCCAGAAATGCTTTCTTTTGACAGACTAAAAACCTGGATTTCCGCCGAAAGTGGGACAAAGACGAATATGAGAAACTTGCAGAGAAACGACTTAATGAAGAAAGAGAGAAAAAAGATGGTGAGTAAAACTCCCTTGAATTTCTGCTTTCTTTGAGCATGCAGCGGATTGGATTGCAGAAATAGTTTAGTGAATTAAGAAATTTTGGTTCTAGTTTCTGCTCTTTTACCAGGAGATTCTTTGGCATTTGTGCAGTTTACTGCACCTCTCTGGGCCTCAGTTTTTAATCTATGCTTCCTTGCCTTTTGCCTTGCCTCCTTTCTTTAGTTGCTGCCCTAAGGCAGGAGATTTTCAGAGCTCAAAAATGCAGGTTTTAGACAGTGTGAATTACTACCGTGGACGCTACCGTCCACCTTCATACACAGAAAAATCTTTGGATTGACGTAAGAAGGGTTATATCCTAACCCAGAAACTTCAGTTAGCCTATGAAAAGCAGGGCTCTGTATAGTAAAGTTTGTGAATATAGGTCTTGTGAGTTGCACTGTTGCCAAATCTGATCATAATCTTTGATGTACTGGTTCTTTGAGTGATTTGGGGGAATTTGTTTCCTTGTTGCTGCTCCCACTTGGTTTGCTCAACAGTCAGTTCTCCCTTTCTACACTTTGGCTGGGTGCTGAAGGATACCTTCATTCCAGCTTTTACCTATTATTTCCTGACAACTTGGCTTCATTATTTTTCTTCTTCATTCCTGTTATAAAATAGCTGTCAGATACCAAGTCCATTCTAACTCTGTGGCATCTCACATCTGTCTCTGTCTTTCTGTTCACAGCTGCTACTCTACATCAAGCCCTCATCACTGCTTTCCCAAACTATCGCAGATACCTCCTAGTTGGTCTCTCTGCCTCAAATCTTTTTCCCCCTTGTCCAACCTGTTTTCCACACCATTGCCAATATATTCCAAAAGCACAGATCTGACAAGTCACTCCTCTGCTCAGGAAACCCTAGTCACTCTCCATTACATCTTAGATCAAATATAAGCTCCTCCCTTTGGCATTTAATAGCAACCTACCTTTCCAAGCTTAGTGTATGATATACACTTTGAGTCCAGCCAAATTGACCTTCTTGTTCTTTTTTAAACATGATATTCTGTCTCCTAGCTCTGTGACTTTGCACAAGCTTTCTAAACGGAATGTATATGGTGCAGTCCTTGCTTACCTCCACTTCTTAGAATCCCTAGTTTCCTTAAGAGCTTGGCTCAAGCTTTATCTCCTTCATGAGGTCTTTCCTTGATCCCTGCAGTTACTGGTGTCTCTCACCCAGAATAACCTTGTCTTGTATGTATTTTGTATATAAATATGTGTATGTGTAGTGTATTTTCAGCTCCAATAAAATGTATGTTCCTTGAAGGCAGGACCTTTCATTTTTTTCCTTTTTATCCCTAATACCACATGATACTGTAACATGGTAGATGCTTAATAATGCTTGTGATCACTTGATTGCTTGATCTTACTCTTATTAAATTACTTGAGTCAGTGCTTTCTTCCTTCAAAGTATTACTGAAATCTCTCCTGTGACTTTAGTTCCCAGGCAGACTACAGGACCATCTTATTCAATTTAATATGTTATTTACAATCTGCTGCTTTTGGAGCCTCTGCCAAAGTTGGGGAGGAGGTGGCTGTTATTTTTTCTTTAACTCATTCTTACATCTTCAGGCATGTCCTAGGCAGTTACTGCCATAGAGAGCTGGTCAATTAGTCAACATCTTTGAGGAGTCTATTATGTGTAGAGCAGGGCCTCTTAACCTTTTTTGTGTCATGGACCCTTTGGCTTGATGAAGCCCATGGATTCCTTCTCAATATTATGGTTTTTGTTTTTTAAATCATATATAACTGAAGGAAATGCTAAATCTCACCTTGAGGTTAATGGGAAAAAAAATACGTGTTTTTTTCTCTAAGTTCATAGACACCTCCCTCCTCAAGTTTGTGCTTAGACCTGGGATTCTGTGGGATCCCAGGTTAAGACGCCCAGTATTATGTATTATTGCAATGTCTGAGTCTGGAGAAAAGGGGAAGGAAATTACGTTGTTGACTGTACCAAGATTCCAGCTTTTACCTTCGTTCCTAGCAGAAAAATTCTTGGCTTTGAAAGGAGCTATAGTTTGTAGCGTTTCCTTCCCCAGCAAGATCTCACTGACTGCATTCACTTTTCTTTCAGGAAAACCAGTGCAGCCTGTCAAGCGGGAGCTCTTACGACACAGAGACTACAAGGTTGACTTGGAGTCTAAGCTGGGAAAGACCATTGTTATTACCAAGACAACCCCACAGTCTGAAATGGGAGGGTGAGTAGCCTCTTATTTTACCGAAAAGAGCAGGACTTATGAGTGGTCGGTAGTGACGGCCAATGGGGTAAGTTCAGTTAATTTTGGGAAGAGTTTCCTATAATAAAACTTAACTTATTGATAGATTGTTGTGGGTTGATTCGCAGTCCCCTAAGTTGAAACCTGTTGGAATAAGTTTTTTTGTAATGAGAGAACTGGAAATGTGCAATTAATAAGAGAAGTAGCTGGGGAATATCTCTGGGGGTTGGAGTGGTGGGTATGATTGATACTAACTCCTTAGAGTTTGGGTATTCAGGCCTCCTGGCAACCTGGAAATGGAGCTTTGTCACATTAATAAGGACCCATGCTTAGAGATTTTCTCCTTAGTCCATGCCTGCGGTATAAAGCAGGAGATATAGGGACTGACTAACAGTTCTTAAAGATTTAACTGGCAAACCCCGGGCCTGTCACCATACTTCTTCTCTGGGGCTTGCTAAGATTTTTGATAGAACTGGCCACAGATGGCTGCTATACCCTCCTGTCTATTCCACTTGGGAGCTTCTCTCTTAGTACCTTTTCCTGGTGATCTCGGGATGTCTTAGGAAATAAAAGATTGGGAAGTATTGACCTAAAGTTTTCAGTAAGGTAAGGGGCATGACATGTTTTCAGGCTGCTCAAATAATAAGTACTTCTATGACTGTGTAGGTATTACTGCAACGTCTGTGACTGTGTAGTGAAAGACTCCATCAACTTCTTGGATCACATCAATGGAAAGAAACGTAAGGAATGAGGACATTTTGGAATGGGTTTTGGGGATCCCCACAGCTCTTGCTGGAGGCTCAGAGTAGATGCTTTTCTTGCCTTTGCACAGGGAGTTCATTTCTCTTCATCAGTAAGATGTTTATGGAGCTCATGAGGTACATCATACTCTTTTGTTCTACAATCAAATTAGCATATCTTCCCAGCTGTCCATTTTTATTGCCCAGATATAGACAGTTCCATCTTGTTTTTTGAGGTTGCTAGATGCAGGGACAGAAGAAGTCCCTGGAGCTGCCCTCAGCAGAATT